TTTTGTTGTTGTTTAACGTTGTTCATTTTCATTATGATTGTTCCAATGATGATGATTATGATTATGATATCGTCGTGGATATTGATTATTACCATATTCACCTTCTTGTCCTTCACCTCCTTGTTGTCCTTGGCCACCTTGTTCATTCTGTTGATGATGATAATAATCATACCTTCGATGATGATGATGTTGGTGACCTAAGTGTTAAATCAGTATAATCTATATATTAAAAAAATCAGGGAAAAAAAGCAAAAAAAAAATTACTATTATAACGACCATCCGGTGATGCATCAATCAATGGAATAATCCAACATAGTTTAACAATGATAATTAAACAGGTTAACAGAAGGAAAATCGAACGAGAATGCATGCTTGATTGATTAGTAAAATTGGTAAGTTGAATTAAACTGAATGAAAGAATTTGAAATCAAAATGCGAAAAAAATCGATACTTTTTATAGCAATAAAACATATGGATTAGATCCATATGTTTTTGTGTGTCTGTTATAAATGACATAAGTTATGTAAATCAATCCAAAATTCAAGTGGTTTTTTTCAATTTTCAATTCGAAAATGATTACAAGATCAAGGTTGTACAGTTGTTGTTGTTGTTGTTGGGATCGATATAGTGGAAGTATCAAACGAAGATGTTGTTGTCATTCTTGTTGTTGTTGTCGTTGGATTATTATCGTTTGTTTGATTATTACAAGGAACAATAATATAAATAACTTCTGGAATACAGATTGGTATATTTTCATGTTGTTGTTTTTGATGTCCCGGTGGTCCACGATCATGATTATGATGGTGATGACGACCACGATCATGATGATGATGACCACGACCATGATTACCTTGTCGAGGACTAGGCAATGGTGGTCGTCGTCGATCATCATCATCAGTTCGATGTTGCCGACCATTATGATGTCCAGAAAATGGATCACGATCTAGATAAACTTTTGATTTTTTTTTTTCGTTATGAATTGATTTTACCCGAAAGAAAACAAAAAAAAATCAATATTACCATTGTTCGAATAGACCAATTGAATCAGACATAAACAGATAAAAATATTGATCATTATCGATTTTCGTAACATTATTTATCATCGGTCAGAAGATAATTGCTTGAAGATTGTNGATTATTATCGTTTGTTTGATTATTACAAGGAACAATAATATAAATAACTTCGGGAATACAGATTGGTATATTTTCATGTTGTTGTTTTTGATGTCCCGGTGGTCCATGATCATGATTATGATGATGGCGACCACGATCATGATGATGATGACCACGACCATGATTACCTTGTCGAGGACTAGGCAAGGGTGGTCGTCGTTGATCATCATCAGTTCGATGTTGCCGACCATTATGATGTCCAGAAAATGGATCACGATCTAGATAAACTTTTGATTTTTTTTTTTTCGTTATGAATTGATTTTACCCGAAAGAAAACAAAAAAAAAATCAATATTACCATTGTTCGAATAGACCAATTGAATCAGACATAAACAGATAAAAATATTGATCATTATNATGTTGTTGTTTTTGATGTCCCGGTGGTCCACGATCATGATTATGATGGTGATGACGACCACGATCATGATGATGATGACCACGACCATGATTACCTTGTCGAGGACTAGGCAAGGGTGGTCGTCGTTGATCATCATCAGTTCGATGTTGCCGACCATTATGATGTCCAGAAAATGGATCACGATCTAGATAAACTTTTGATTTTTTTTTTTCGTTATGAATTGATTTTACCCGAAAGAAAACAAAAAAAAATCAATATTACCATTGTTCGAATAGACCAATTGAATCAGACATAAACAGATAAAAATATTGATCATTATCGATTTTCGTAACATTATTTATCATCGGTCAGAAGATAATTGCTTGAAGATTGTCATTGATTTTTGTTTGATATTTTCGATATTTCAAGTTCGACTTTTATTTTATAGGTGGAAATTGTATTGAGTTTTCTAGCAAAAAAAAATCTGTTTTTGAAACAACATTTGTCCCCAAAAAAAAACTGACATGAACATCTTTTATTCTATATTTTTGACAGCCGAAAATGAAAGAAAGATAAATCTATCCATTTGATTGACTGATTTTTGACTGGCCAAAATCTGTTTTAAAAATTATCATTTTTTGTCAGATTTATCCAATTCAATCCATGATTTTTGACAAAAATTTTCAATCAAAAACGAATCATTATGAAAAGACGATAAAATTCTGGAACAATTTTTAGCAGGCAGCAAAAAAAATCGAAACGAGAAAATTCTATTTTTTCGAGATTTTACTGGAATTTAGAATTTTCTCGAAAATGCCATACACACAGTGAGAAAAATGCAAGACGAATGCAATCGAAACATTCATGCGCAGTATTGGTTGCCGCTAATACACATTCAACCCAAAATATAGTGATAGTGGCATTAATCAAAGCCAAATGAATGGCTATGATTTTTTCGGGAATTTTCTACAAATTTCTTGAAAATGTCGATTTTTATATATAAAATGCGAATCGTTATATTTTTACGGTTATTATTCTGACTTGAAAAGCGCTTGAAATTTTGTTTTTTCACTGTGCAAATTCTACTGCGAAACTTTTTTTTTTTCAATTTTGTGTATTTTACTTCGTGTGTTTATCGTCATTTACTCAACAACAACAACAACATCGTTCGAAAATGCCGGAAGAAAATCAACAACAAGAAATTGAAACCTTCGCCTTTCAGGCTGAAATTGCTCAATTAATGAGCCTAATTATCAATACATTCTATTCGAATAAAGAAATATTTCTTCGTGAATTGATATCAAATTCATCTGATGCATTGGATAAAATTCGTTATGAATCATTAATTGATCCATCGAAAATTGCAAATTGTAAAGATTTTTATATTAAAATTATACCGAATAAAGATGAACGAACATTGACTATTATTGATACGGGTATTGGTATGACAAAAGCTGATTTAATCAATAATCTTGGTACGATTGCTAAATCCGGTACAAAAGCTTTTATGGAAGCTCTTCAAGCTGGTGCCGATATTTCAATGATTGGTCAATTTGGTGTTGGTTTTTATTCAGCTTATTTAGTTGCCGATAAAGTTACTGTACATTCAAAACATAATGATGATGAACAATGGGTATGGGAATCATCAGCTGGTGGTTCATTTACAATTTGTCCTGATCATAGTGAACCATTGGGTCGTGGAACAAAAATTGTCCTATATATGAAAGAAGATCAAATTGAATATTGCGAAGAACGTCGGATTAAAGAAATTGTTAAAAAACATTCACAATTTATTGGCTATCCAATAAAATTGGTTGTTAATAAAGAACGTGAAAAAGAAATATCCGATGATGAAGATGATGAAGAAATGAAAGATGCTGAAAAAGAAGAGAAAAAAGATGAATCGAAAAAAGATGATGATACTGGTGATGAACCAAAAATTGAAGATGTAACCGATGATAAAGATGATCAAGAAAAACAGAAAAAGAAAAAGAAAAAAATCAAAGAAAAATATACCGATGAAGAAGAATTGAATAAAACAAAACCAATTTGGATGCGTAATCCGGAAGAAATTACTCAAGAAGAATATGCTGAATTTTATAAAAGTTTAACAAATGATTGGGATGATCATTTGGCTGTAAAACATTTTTCCGTTGAAGGACAATTAGAATTTCGTGCCCTATTGTTTGTACCGAAACGTGCACCATTTGATTTGTTTGAAAATAAAAAACAAAAAAATAATATTAAACTTTATGTCAGACGTGTATTTATAATGGAAAATTGTGAAGAATTAATACCGGAATATTTGAATTTTATGAAAGGTGTTGTCGATAGTGAAGATTTACCATTGAATATTTCACGTGAAATGTTACAACAGAATAAAATTCTTAAAGTAATTCGGAAAAATTTGGTAAAAAAATGCCTCGAATTATTTGAAGAATTAGCCGAAGATAAAGAAACATATAAAAAATTTTATGAACAATTTTCCAAAAATCTTAAACTTGGCATACATGAAGATCATACTAATCGTAAAAAATTGGCCGATTTATTACGTTTTCATACATCATCATCAGGTGATGATATGTGTTCGTTGAAAGATTATGTAACCCGAATGAAGGAAAATCAAAAACATATTTATTTTATTACTGGTGAATCACGAGAAATTGTTGCCAATTCAGCATTTGTTGAACGTGTACGTAAACGTGGTTATGAAGTTATCTATATGGTTGAACCAATTGATGAATATTGTGTACAACAATTAAAAGAATATGATGGTAAACAATTGATATCGGTTACGAAAGAAGGTTTAGAATTACCCGAAGATGAAGATGAAAAGAAACGTTTTGAAGAAGCAAAGAAAAAATTTGAAGATCTTTGTAAAATAATGAAAGATATTTTGGATAAAAAAGTTGAAAAAGTATTAGTTTCAAATCGTTTAGTTAGTTCACCATGTTGTATTGTTACAAGTCAATACGGATGGAGTGCTAATATGGAACGTATTATGAAAGCACAAGCATTACGTGATTCATCAACAATGGGCTATATGGCTGCTAAAAAGAATCTGGAAATTAATCCTGATCATCCGGTTATTGAAACATTACGACAAAAAGCTGATGCAGATAAAAATGATAAATCAGTTAAAGATTTAGTCATTCTTTTGTATGAAACATCATTATTATGTTCGGGTTTCAGTTTAGAAGATCCACAAACACATGCATCAAGAATTTATCGTATGATTAAACTTGGTTTAGGTATCGATGATGATGATGAAATGTCTATCGATTCTATTGATCAAGCTACAACTAACGTTGATGATAAAAATATTGTACCGGATGATAATGCAACTGCTGCTGCTGATACTTCACGAATGGAAGAAGTTGATTAAATTCTTTGATTTTCATCATCATCATCATCAAAATATGGTCTATCCAAAGAAACAAACAACATTGATCTTCATCATTATCATTTAGAAGTGAGAATTTTAGATAGCCATCGTCTTACACTACTTATTTTTATTTTTGAAAAAAAAATTTTTGTATTTTCACAAGTTTTATAAATGCTATATAAAAGTACATTTGTGTGTGCGTGTAATAGTTATAATTGTAATTTATAAAAAGATAAATAAAACTTGTAGTTTTTTATTTTAAAAAATCTAATGACTAAAATTTCTATCTATTCCTTTCCATTATACAGAAATGATTGATTATTTTGATGAATAGAAAAATGAGAATCGAGGAAAAATAAAGTTGGCAAAGGTTTTTGATGAGGGAAAAAGTTGGATTTTCGGTTGTTTAATTTCAATTTCATTTTTTATTTATAAAAAAGAATCTTACGAGAACGTTGAAAACCTTCATTAGCACGACCCAATTCATCCAATGTATTAACAACCATACGATCATCATTATTCAATATTGATTTACGATATTCATCCAATCGTTTTTGAAATTGTCGTAATTCATCACAACAATCACGTGATTCATTGAAAATTTTACCATCAATATCTGGATATTGTCGTTGTAATTTTTCCAATTGTTCTAATAATTTTTTTGATTTCTTTTTTTCATCATCAATCCAATCAACACATGAATCAAATTCTTCGGCAATTAATTTTTTTGCTTTTAAAATTAATTGTTTCATTTCATTTTCGATACGTTCTTTTGCGGTTGTCATTTTTTTTCGTCGGTTGCTGTTTTGATTTTCGTTGATTCAAATTTTACAAAGTTTTTTGTTGAATTTCGCAAATCAAAGTTGAAATACACAAAAACGGAAAAAATGGTGGTTGTTGTTGTCGTTGCTAATTGCTGTGATACAATAATGAACGAACGAACGAAACGATTCCAAAATAATGTGTTTTGATGATGATCATCGTTTCTCTTCCATAACCATTTAAATACCAATTTTGTAACAAAACAGAAAAGAAAAGAAAAGTCCATTGGTGATGATAGTGTTGATGGCTGGCTGTGTGTGTGTTGTTCCTTTTGTGTTTGATGATAATCATCATTATCATTATCATTTTTTTTGAAAAAAATGGCCAAAAATCTTGATGATGGGATAGGCATTTTTTGTATTTTTTGATTTTGTTTGGCCATTAAAAATGTCATGTGTGTATCCATGGCTCTTGTGTGGAAAAATTTCTCCACTGACTGACTGACTGATACACACTGGTCAAACACACTAATAATTTTATCGCACAAAATTTTAATCAATTTTTTTTCAATGTTAATTCGTTTGAAAATCAATATTTTTCTGATAAAAATTTGTTGTTGTTTGCTTGTTTGTTGATTTGTACTTAAAGGATGATTCATTATTATATCCTGATAATAATCTTATAATCATGACTTTTTGCGTTTGTTTTTGTTTCAAAAATCAATATTTTTTTTTCAAAATTTTTCCGTTTAAAAATCAAAATAAACAAATACAAAAAAACAACAACAACAGAAAATGAAATTTTTTTTTTTTTTTTTTTTTTTTTTTTTTTTTTTTTTTTTTTTAAAACCCCACCCAAATTATTAAAAAATGTAGATGA